TGCACTATGCCCTGCTGCTGCCCACCTGCTTGTCCCCTGGGGGTGGGCGGCTCCCACAGGCCAGGCACCACATCTCCTGCGCTGGGTGCATGGCCCTGGGGTGAGCAGGTGCCCAGGGCCACAGGGCTGGCCCAACTGCACTGCCCTTGGGCCCGGTGGGCCCCACACAAGCCCTCAGCCCAGGCCAGTGGGGCAGGGCAGCTTCCAGGCCCCCATGGCCCTGCTCAGTGCAGCTGGGAGCAGCTGGGCAGCAGCCTGGGCAGTGCCAGCATCGCAGCAGCGGGAGCCAGTACCTGCCATGGGCACCATATGCTGCCTGGTCCAGTAGCCAGGAGGCTATTTAGAGCAGGGTCAGGCCAGAACTAGTGCGGGACCAAGTGGCCACGTTGCTGTTGCCAGTGGGGAGGCCAGAGTAGTGTGGCTCCCACACACGCAGCCTCCTGCACTGCCAAGCCAAACCCGTGGACAGTGGGATGCATGTGCCTGCTCACCATCCACCCCAACGGCCTCACCCAGGGCCCAGCCACACACTAGGCTGGCCGGACACACCTGCTTGTGGGCTAAGGGGCAGCTGAAGGGTGGCACAATGCAGTGCCGGCTCCACGAACCTGCATGTGGCGAGTCGGGAGGGTGCCTAGGGCCAGAGCGCGCGGCCCGGCAGCGCTGTCCAGGTGCACCCAGGATCAGTGCTGGTGCTAGTGTGCCCTAGCCCTGCAGCCCCTCCGCCCAGCCCCACAGATGGCCTTGCACCCTTCTCCCTGGCCCCTGCCTGCCCCCACCCAGTCTGAGCAGGAATAGCATGGGGCTGGCTGTTGCAGCAGTGCCCCACAGGAGGCCTGGTGCCCCCCCGCCCCCACCTCCAATCCTGGTCCAGACCAGAGTCCCCAGCCCAGCCCAAGCTGCTGCCAGCTGCTGTGCTCCAGCACAGGCTGCATTGGGTGCTGGAGTGATGGCTATGGCACAGCCTACGCTGCACTAGGATGGCAGGTGCCGGGGCTGGGGAAGAGGGTCTGGGGGCAGGTGAGTTTGGGGCATGTAACAGGGATAGTGAGGCTGCGCTGTGGAGAGGCTGTGGGTACCTCTGGAGCCGGTTTCTCTTGCAGGGGGCGGGCACCGGCAGCCAGGGTGCAGCTATGGGCAACTGGAGCCTGCTGGAGCGGACACAGGTGCACGCCACGGCGGTGGGCCAGGTGTGGCTCACCGTGCTGTGTTCTGCATCCTGGTGCTGGGCGCAGTGGCCGAGCAGGCCTGGGTGGACAAGGCGGCCGGCTTTGCCTGCAACACGTAGCAGCTGGTTGCCAGAGCGCCTGCTATGGTGCCACCTTCCCCCTGTCCCAGCTGCGCTTCTGGGCACTGCAGATCATCTTCATCTCCACGCCCAGCCTCGTCTACCTGGACCACAGCCTGCAGCTGGCACAGCTGAAGGGGCTGGGCCCACGGTGCTGGGGGCTGGGGCAGGGCACTGGGGGCATGCCAGGGGCCCTGCTGCGACCTATGCTGGCACTGTGGTGTGCAAGGCACTGCTGGAGGCAGGCTTCAGGGCAGGGGAGGGCGCCCGCCTGGCCCCCCCCCCGCCGGCCCCCGCTGCCCCTGCCGCAACACTGTCAACTGCTACCTGTTGCAGACCACCGAGAAGACCGTCTTTGCCCTGGCTGTGGCTGGCTTGTCCCTGCAGCTCACTCTGGTCAAGCTGTGCCACCTCGGCCTCACCGGAGCCCTGCAGAGGCCCACAGCCAGCAGCCTCCAGGCAACCGCAAGGCCCCAGGGCTCTGCCTGCCCAGCTTCACAGTGCCTGATAGGCCAGATGGGTACAGCCCCCTGGCCCGGCTATGTGCTTCCCTGCCCCTCTGGTGCCAGCCTGACCCTACAGCTGCTACAGCGCCCCTGGGGCCAGCCCCATGGCTCAGGCGGTGCAAGAACAGCTGCCTGGGCCTGGGCCTGGTCCCAATCCCAGGGGAGCGACTGGCCCCAGTGCTGGGCAGCATCCCCTGCTAGCCCCCCCCGCCCCTGCAGCTTGGCCCCCTGGCCATTCAACACCCACGCTGTTGCTGCGCTGGCTGGGGGGCGGGGGGGAGCGGCGGCACCCGGCAGAC